AATAATATCTTTAATTATGCATTGTAAAAATAAAAAAAAAATAAAAATATATTATAAATTTTGATAAATTACACATTAAGATGAATCTAATAAAATCCTATAAACTTTTTGTTTTTCACTTTTGTCAATGGCATTACTTCAACCAATATCATCTTCAATTATGCATTTGTAAAAAATAAAGTTATATTTTAATAAAGCACACATTAAGATGAATCTAATAAGATCTCATATGACGATGTTTTTCCTTACATATAATCATAAAATGTAACTGATGTGCAGTATGTATAGAGTGTACACTTAAAAAAATAAATATTTTAAGTATACATCCTCTTTATTTAAAGTATACATCCTCTTTATTTTTGAAGAGAAGTTATTGTGAAGTTAGGCTCACCAATGGCTTTGTGAGACAAACCCAAAATAAGGAGAATCCAACCTTTAAAAATGGTAAATAGTCATATGACATATCATCCATTAATAATATCATCCCATTCAATTAATCATATCATCCACCCTATATACACTTATATATACATATCATCCAAATAATTACTGATAAGACAATTGAGCATGTCATCCAACCAAATAATCATATCATCCATCCAATCTAGACACTTTAGAATATCATCCTAGTAGTTATTAATATCATCCAACAATTAACCATATCATCTAACCAATTAATCATATCATCCATCTAATCTAGACACTTAAGAATATCATCCTAGCGATATCATCCAACAATTAACCATATCATCCAACCAATTAATCAATCATCAACCTTAGACACCTAAAGATATCATCTTAAGAATTAATCATATCAGCTAAACACTTAAAGATATCATCCAGATAAGTAATCATATCATCTAGCCAAAACATTTCTTCTTTAAAGCCATACTTGGATTAGGGGTAATAAAAATCAAGCTAGGAAAAACATAAGTGATGGTGGTGTTGTAGGGAGATAAGGTGTTTATAAACGAAATAAGGTATTTGTGACATGAGGAAAGAGAGAGCGGAGGAATCATTATCCTCATAGTGAGGATTATAATTATCCACCCTCCTCCCTAGTGTAACCATTATCCCCTAAAATGAGGGTAAAAGTTTCCCTATCTCCCACCTATCACCACATCACCATTACATAAGACTCCTTGCAATCACTCCATCACTATCTCCTCCTCCCCTATATATTTACATTCATTTTGTTTAGTTTGAATTTTATTACTCTAGTCAGTCTAGTAACATATTACCCTCGATCCAAGCGTGCCCTAAATATGATTAATATCATTCAGACAATGAATGATATCACCCCGCCACGACTACTAATATCATCAGACAATTAATCATGTCATCCAACCAATTAATCATATCATCCAGCTAAACACTCAAAAGATATCAATAAGAATTTCACTCCAAGTCGAATGACAAGTGCATCATTAAGAATCAAGACCCTATCCACAAATGTTTTGGAATTTGAGGATACTTTAGTAACACGTTTTGTAAACTCAAGTATAGTGACTTTGGTGCAAATGTACATACTCAAAATAACAAGGGCCGCCATTGTACCACCACTACCATACAGCCACTCTTCAGCCACCACAACCACCTAGCTGCCACGGTGCCACCACTACCTCCTCGATCAAAACCACCCACACCTTTAACCATCCCCTATGTCCCTCACCGTACAGGGACTTTTTTCCGTGAACATAGAGAATTAGCAAGGCAATCGTAACGATAGTCCTAAAATTTTGCGCTTGATGTTTCTCTCACCTAAATTATCAGTGATTTATGTATTAGGTGGAGTGGATTGGAGATTTGGAGTGGAGATAGGGGAGTGCCACAGGAGTGTTTGGACGTAAGAGATTATTTGGGCGAATATGTGAAGGGAAAGGCCATCTCACCAATTGTAAGCCTCACCTTATATTTTGTGTTTTTTAAATTGCGACATTTGGACTTTAACACTATTCACACAATAGTTTTTGACCATATTTTGTGATTTATTTGTGAGTAAAACATAGTTATGTAGGATGTAGTAAGATTCATCTTGATATCCACTTTTTAAATATCAATTTTTTTAAAATAAATTTTAAGTATATACAGATATTAATCATCAAAGTGATGCATCGGCAAGCGTGAAAGATAAGGAGAGGAGGAAGCCTAGATTAAATCCAAGCACTATCAGTGAGATACACAATGCTGAATTGTTGACTTTAATCACCAATTTTTGGTGCAACGTAGGAAGTTGAATGGAAATTTCCACAAAGAGTTTAAAAGATAATTTCTCAAAACATGGTTCTTTTAAAAGGTAACTTATGACCAACTTTCCTAATAATACAACTAGATTTATCTCAAGATATCTATATTATCATTAAAGAACTGTAGGATGAATGAAATGCTTCCAAAACCCAAATCCCCACTTCATAAATAAACTACTCTTTAATGGCAATAATGATATTGGAAATATGAAAACTTCAATAACGGAGGAAGATTGAAAATTTCATATACTCAAAACGGAAAATGGGAAACCTTGTAATCCTTTAACTACATTCAATTACACTCCAAATAGGAAACCAAGAAATTGGATACAAGGAAACATCAATAAAGCATAATCAATATTCAATCCAGATAATAAAATAATTAACATAAAATCGAACCCGGGAAAAGAAAAGATGGGAATTTTCATCAACTTAAAATAGAAATTTAAAAACACAACAAATTATTTTTTTTCTAATACAAACAAAATTTATGAGAAAAGTGAAACCAAAATAATTTCAAAATTTGTACTCATACTCTCCAATATAAAGCAAAAATAGAGACTAATATTAAAATTTAACAAAATACTTTATAATATTAGTTTAATCATCAATATAATTTTTTTAAGGCCATGTAATCTTTGTTCGGTAAAAATCCTTCTCTAATGATTTAAATTCCCTTAACGCCTAAAAAAAGTTTTAATGGAAAGGAAAAAAAATACTTCATTTAATCCATCTCTAATTTTTTTATTTATATGAAAGATATATCGCAAATTGTTTAATTAATAAAAACATCCTATATTCTTTTATGTTCTATTCACGTTAAGAAAATATTGAAAAAGGTGATAGAGTGTAAGATAAAGTAAAAAAGAGAATGTAAAAAGCTAGATAGATGTTAATTAAAAAATAAAAAAAAATAAAAAAATAAAAAATAAAAAAAAGTACGAGAGAAAATGTAAAAAAAAAATGAGGGTTTTAAGAAACTAGTGAACAAAGTAAGAGAGTGTATGCCAAAAATAGAATAAAACAAAGGTAATAATAAAAATAAAAATAAAAATAAAAATAAAGTGCGGACTAAATGGAAAGTGAGTAAAACAAAACGGAGGGAGTACAAGCTAGGATGTTTTAAATATAGAACATTAAAATTTGTTTAAGATACTTACTTCCTCCGTTCTTTTTTACTTGACCCGCTTTGACTTTTACACTATTTACAACTCCTCCTTTGACCGTCTTTTGTGAATAATTTGTAAGGAAAAATATGTTCATGTGGGATATTTTGAATTTGTCTCAAGAAATATTATCATAATATACAACTTTTATAATTTTTACTTATGGAGAATTAAAGTTATTAATCGTTGAAGTTTTGCATTGGCAAGCGTGATAAAAGAAACAAGTCAAGTAAAAAAAAACAGAGGAAGTATTAAATTAGGTAGTAAAGTGATTTATAATCATCTAGGGCTTGTTTGGCATCATTTTTGGTTATTAGTTTCCTGTTTTCTTGAAAACTAAAAACCAAAAACAGGAAACAAGAAACAAGAAAAAGGTGTTTCCAATTTTTTGTTGTCAGTTTTCAAAATTATTATGATTTTAATAAGTTTAAATAATTTTTTATTCATTATGTGACATATATTATATATTTTTATACAACAAAAAACCAAAAAACAAAAAACCACAGCAATAATAATTTGAATGCATAGGGAAAAACTAGTACTTACATATAGCAATTACTCCAATATAAGTGATAACATATATACTAGAGTATTTTGTAGTTTGTGCACTAGCAGCCAAAGAGATAAAAATATGCTTTCCTATAAACTAAGTTGGATGCTACTACCACCAATATTATGGTTTCAGATCACAGAATGTCTACAAAATAATTGCTATGCCATTTATGTGGTCCAAGAGAGAGTAATGTGCAAAACCATAGCACCAATAGTTGAAAGAGAAAATGCTAGATTATTGAGTCTCTCCATCAGTAACTTTATAATACTAGAATAAAGACTAAATATTATCCTAACTTCCTCAGTACAGAGCAAAAAATATAGTAGTAGAGACCAGTAGAAAGCATGAACAAATAGAAGAACGACAAGAACCACAAATACAATAACAATACGTTATTTAAGTTTTGTTTGCTTCATCTGACTTTGTTCGAAATTATTTTATTTCATCTTTACATATATTATTATATTTGAACTTAGAGTGTGTTGTCTAAATTTTTCTTGAAAGTTTATTTTACTTGAACCTATCTGAGCTTTTTATTTAGTTGAACTTAATTTGTTTTTGAATTTTGATATTATTTTGTCAGAACTTATCTAACTAACATAACCTAAGTTAAAATAAGATGAAATAAACAAACAAACCCTTAAATACATCCATCAGTTAGAAAAAAAAAAACAACAAATTTGAAAAAATAGGCAAGTGGTTATGGTTCTCTACTCATATACCTAATGTAGAGTCTTTTCAAACTTAAAATAAAATACCTACTGTACTAAGAATAAAGCAATTTAAGAGAAGATCTTACATTAGATTCTAATTTTAATGATCAAAACCAAATGTAAAGACTTTTTTCAATAAAAGGACTCGCTTTCAATGTTTCTGGAAATATTATTTGGTTGTATAGTATAAAGGAATATAACTGGAACCTTTATATAAGATCTAAGAGACAGAGATCGTCAACTTGTTTCAAAACACCTAGCTTTCTTGATTTAGTAAACTTTTGACACTTTTAATACCAAAATGCATGACAGTGAAGCTATCTCATTACTAAATAAGACAGGGAATCAAGTGGGGTTATGGTATGCACATTATTGCGGCTCCTAATGATCAAAAAATATAAAAAAATCATTTAAAGCAGTGAACATTATTTCAAAGACTCTTTGAGCAACGCAAGAGCTGCTAAATTTATGAAAATGTCTTTATCACACGTAGTCCTTGACAGTAAAGTGTACACTCCTGAGACAAAGACAAGCAAGATATGCTAACACCTTTAATTTTCAGATCTCAACAACATGTGAACACAGGAAATCCTATGATAATTTTAGGCAGAATTAACCATTTAGCTTCCGCGATTAGACGTAAAGATACTCCCTAAGTATGGAATCTGAACCCGTTACGAATCTTACAACCTCTAATTGTCACAAGAAAGACCATACCCACTATACTGAATGTTACTCTCAAAAGATCACTCTCTTTATATGCTCACAACACTAAATTTAATTAAGGCCTCACACAGCACAGTGCTAATACAACTGATTAACCTTGTCAGTCAAACCAGTGCATGCAAAAACAGCTCTTAACAAGGCAGGAAGGGTCTTTTATGAAAAACAATAACGAACTATAATCATAGTACAATCATGAAGGATAGACTGATGGAGTAACAAACCAATCCAATCACTGAATGAAGAAGATATGACAAGCCAGATAATTCTAACGAACATAATACTGTGACATTTTACAATCCTTTGTTTCATTGCTGCAGGTTGTGCATGACACTCAATATTATGCTGAAGTGGGATAAAAGCAAGGCATTTTACAAACAGTTCTTAACACTTTGCCAGGATATATTTGTACCTAAACCCCTCGATATTGAAGCCTCTAAGATTTTAATATGATCACAACACTAACGCAAAGCTCAAACAGACTATATTTCATCTAACCCATTGTCTCCGCATAAAAACGATTTCTATAAACTAGTGAAAATCCACATAAGATCCTTCAACTTATACGCGAGGGTGAAATACATTCCATTACATCTGGATTGAAACTTGAGAACCTCGAGAACTAAAAGACATACAAAGTATTGTTTCTGAATCATAATCCAATCTCCCGTCAAAATAAAAATAGATAAATAAATAAATAAATAAATAAAACATAATCCAATCACATTATCCCACAAATTGTCACAATTTATTCCTCTTTATCTGATAATTAGCAAAACCGATAGACTCGTTTTAGTGGAGTTTAAAATTGGACAGCAAGTATCCAACCCCCATGGAAGCCTTCAATATGGAAGAAAGTAGGCAGAAGTTCAAAAAACATCAAAACAATAACTCAAACCATTAGTTTGGGGTTGATAAAAATTGAACTATCAGTTTCATGGCTGAATGACTGAGACGTAAAGTAACATTACATATCAGCAGATACGACTGAAACAAAGTCTATAGAAAACAAACACTGGTAGATTCACAACTAATCAGACTTATATGGTGACCAGATCACGTCAACTGTAACTCTTGCAATACTGAAATAATGTAGCCATCACAAATGTGCAACAAATCTCTTGCAATCACAATTTATACACCCCAAACATTTTCTTATCCCAACAATGGCCAGATAACAAAATCCATAATAAATAAACAAATAATATATCAGCTAAGATTATACCAACAATATCTCCACTACATGATTCGAGAAATGGCAATAAATGAGAAAGATAATAGTTTTAAAAAAAATAATAATAATAAAAAATTATAAAAGTAAGGTGACCCTCTTTTCGCACAAGCCCAGCCAAACATATAGAATCTGAAAGTTCAAAGGTATCATATTGATGCCTAGTGCTATTGAAATTTTGTTACATTAAAAATCGACCAAAAAGATGAGTACACATAACCCAAGTTTTAAGATTGTTTATTTTACCTTAGTAATTACTTTTAATATTTTTACTCAATTCGTATTTTAACAACTTAACTAATTTCTTTTGCTAAAATTTTCTCAAACCTTCATGTGTTTTTTACCACTTCTTTAAAACTTTCTTGAATTTAAATCTTGGTTCTCTTTTCAAACCCTCGTAAAATTTACTTAGATGCTCTTTCTTTTTCTCACTTTACACCTTTTTTACAAACTTTTTCAACTAATTATCTTGCTATGTCCTCTTTTCTTTATCGAACGGTTACTTATGATGATTCATATTAGCCAATCCCAAATAATTTCAGGACTAAGGCTTTGTTGTTGTTGTTTATAGAAATATATACGTCCGCATGGTAATACTCGCGGTTGACTGCATATTCAAAGACAGTAAACCCTCAAGTAGCTAAGAGTATTACCTGTGTACCAGCTACTAACTACGACTTAGTATTTCCCTGAGAGCATTGAGCTGTCCAATAACACCAAAATAGAATCTCTTACTCCAAATAAACAAATCATGTACACAGACAGAAAAGTCAAACAACCATTCCCCCAAGCACTCCCAGAGAAAAGCCAATAAATATGCCCTTTTGTCACATGAAAGGTGCTAAATTCTCTTTCCAAATTTCTCCCTACACCACTTTCAATATTTCACCTCACTCTTACTACTTCAACCAAGATCTTCTGCCACACTAATTCTGTTTCATCTCAACTATTAGCTAAAAATCAACACACACATAAATGGATCGGAACCGATTAACGTCCCAAAGTCTTACAGCAGAAGAGTACACTAAACTGGAAGATGTCATAAGCACATGCCACAGTGCTAATTTGCCTCCAAACAAATGCACATCTTTAATAATCCAACGCATAAACGCACCGGCAAACGTTGTTTGGCGGTATGTCCGAGCCTTTGATAACCCTCAAGCTTACAAGTATTTGATCAAGAGTTGCACAATGAGGGGTGATGGAGGGGTAGGTAGTGTGAGGGATATAACAGTAATCTCAGGACTTCCTGCAGAGAGGAGCACTGAGAGATTAGAGATGCTTGATGATCAGAGACGTATACTAAGCTTCAAGGTCCTAGGGGGTGAACACAGACTTATGAACTACTGCTCTGTCACATCAGTAAATGAAATAAACCACACGGGGAGGGTTTACACCATTGTCTTGGAATCCTACACTGTAGATATACCAGAGGGGAACACAGCAGAAGACACAAAGATGTTTGCTGATACTGTAGTAAAACTAAATCTTCAAAAACTAGCCGAGGTATCAGAGATGACAGCCTCTTGAAAGCAGAAGATCAATGGGTGTTGAGTGCAAAATTGTTGAATGGCTAGGTCTAAAGCTGGATTTTGACTCTATCAGAGATTTTTCTCTTGTTAGTGGGAATGCTGTTACATCTTGTAAGTTGAATTTTTCCGCACTGTATTAGATAGTTGTTTTAAGCATGCTGATTGGTTGAAAAGTAAATCTCTGGTGATCCAGAATACTCTATTTTTATGGACATAACCAATTTGAATTAAGACGGTTCTCTAAAAAAAAGAAGTCAAAGAGTCTAGGCTGGATGTCTTAGTGATCTCGAAACCCTTAAATTACTCAGCTAGCAGATACAAAACTAGATTGAGATGTGCTTGCTTCTCATACACAATTAGCCTTTGCGCTAAAAAAAGGTTCCTCATAACTAGCAGCATTAGGTCAGTTGACTGCTTCTAGGAAGGTTTTTCAGCAAAATAGGATATCATTATATATGAATATACCTCAACTATCTACCATATAATACTATTTCCTAAAGTTATAATATGATTAACCCTTGGCAAAAGATTCAAGGAAAACATGATCAATAATTTAACCCAGCTTGGATGATCAAGGGCTTTCATAACTGAACACATGATCACATTATAATTTTAATATTTATTTTTTACTTATTCAAATTGACAATAATTAGTTCGTGGAATTTTCTTACAGTAATAATAAATAAATTTATTTGAATTATGTTGTTGCGCAGGTCCTAAAATAGTAAGCTCTATTTTTTGCACCTTAAGAGAATTAATTTCACGATAATTATGTTATAATGCTCATCCAATCATTTGCTCTTGCTACTATGTCAATATATAAGATCTTAAACTTAAAAAGCATCAAGAAATTCATGTAAAAAGAAAATAAACATCCTTGTCTAAAAGATATAAAGAAGAAACAACTTTTCGAGTTTTCAATATAAAGACTTTTGAAAGAGATATTTAACTACAAAGAAGATTGAAAAAAGTACAAGTCATGGAATATTTGTTCGCATCAAGTTTACTAGGCAAAATTTATTTGATAGTGAGAACATGCAACTATTAGAAATGAACATATAGTTGATACTTGATAGGTTCTAATAAGTTCAAATTGAATAAAGGTTATCGGAGTTCAATTTTCAGCTAAAACAAGTACTAATAAGTTTTAATAAGTTTGATCCAAATTGAAAAGCACACCCTAAGTGTCAAAAAGATTTATACACATACACTACTATTCATCACATGATTCACATCCTTATTTTATTTTGTTTATAGTAGATATAAAGCACATTCATCAAAGAGATTGTTACCCTTTAACAAAAGTTATTAAGATCTTGAATTAACTACTCATCGTTACACAAAAAAAGGGTATACACCCACTCGATACAACTTGTTCCACAAAACTGGCGAGGTCAAATGTAATTCCATTTCCATTCCCTATTTCATTCACCATGCATTAAATTAAAAGGATCATATCTTTCATTATTCTCCATCTCCCTATTGGCAAGGTGAAATGTAACTCCATTCCCATAGCTTTTCCATTACATACATGTGGAAGAAAATGTTTTGGCAACAAGGGTACATGGAAGGACATGAAGTTTCATACAAGTATATCTATCGGAAATTTGCATTATCTTGTAGTTGTCCAATATACTTATACCGCTCCTAATCTCCCATTGACTTGGAAAGAAAGAAATTTACTAGAATAGTAGAATTATCAACAAGGAGATCAAAGGTATTTCCAGGTTTTGAAAAACAAGTGTCTCATTTAGCCCTCTAAAGATGTAGAAGCATCTCAACAAATATAATATCGTTTAGAAAGATCGTGACGAAGGAGATTACCCTCTATTCTATATAAGATCAAGGCAAACTAAATCAAACTTCTCTTAGCCTTCCTAGATGATTTATTATCCATGATTTAAGGTGAGTGCAAACTTTCATTTAAAAAAAAAAAAATTTGAACACAAACATAGAAGTTGCATAGCACAAAAATTTTGAAATTCTTCAAACTTTTAACTTTCTTTTGGATATCTTGATTCCTAATTATGTCCTTAGAGATGTTCTTACACATCCACTTTAACATTAAAAAATCTACACCTCAACATGATCTATCTTAAATGTCCAACATTTCGACTCATAATGTGCTTTAGAGTTTATCCTTTAACTATAAAGGTTTGCAACAATCACACACCTCTCCAATTATTGCTGCTCTCCTCTCTATCTGACCCATTTGAAGTTAATCTTGTGAGTCCACACCTTTGTCGATATTTTTATTCCCTTGTAGGACTAACACAATGTACTTAAACTACTCACTCTCTACCAACACCATTCCATTTAACATTACAATTTCTTTGTTTGACTCCCTTCTAATATTGACACTCTTTGTACTTTGTTTTCCTCATACTTGGTGTAAATGCATCCAGATTCTAACTTTTGCCTCCACTGCTCTAATTTAGGATAAAATATCGTCTTACAATACAGTACAATCTACAAACAACATGCACCATGGTGTCTCATCACGAGTAGACCTTGTTAATCGAATATTACTGCCTCTGAATTCGATTGTTTCTTACATTATCAAGGAAATTAAAGAGAAGTGAGTGTTGATGAAGTGAGTGAATATAAGATAAATTTGGATAAAATAGGAGAGATTGTGTAAATAAGTGGGTGGGTGTAAGAAAAAGGGTGGATAAAGAGAGATTGTGTAAAGGAGTTGGTGTACGCATGAAATAAAGGTGGATGAAGCAAGAGAGTAAGCGGAATGGTATAAATATTGTAGGCTAAGCTGGGTAAGGTAGTAAAAAGGATTTGCCAAAATGCAACTTTCAAAAACAAACAAATATGCGGAATGTTACAAACTTCAGAAACGCAGTAGTATATACATTGAATTCATTATTCAGTTATGGCAATAATGTAGGATACTATCTCAATTTACAAAATAAGTGTATTAATTGACTTTTTGCACTATTTAGTCTTACTTTGACCATAGCTTTCTGCTAATATATTAAAACAATAATTAGTAAGATGTTTTTTAGATTCATCTTAATGTAATAGTTTCAATAATCAGCTATTCATAATTTTATAATAGAGACTGAGAGATATCAAATTATCAATAGTCAAACTAATACATTAGAAAGTGTGTTAGCTAAACTAATGTATAGGGAGTAGCCTTTTGGGACATCCTATAAAGGAATTGTTGGATAATATTGTTAGGAAATTAGGGTGTAATTATGTTTGATTAATGCGGAACAAGTCAATGAAATTAAAAACGGAGAAAAAACAATAAAGAAGATAAACAAACAACACAAGGATTTACGTGGTTCGGTCAAAATAGACCTACATCCACGGGTGGGGGATTCGAGAGCTTCTTCACTATAATGGAGAAAGAACGAGAGAATAATACAAGCAGTCTTAAATCTAATGGCTCAATAAGGTATGATCTAATTGATCAACTAAAGGGTCCTTTTATAACACAAGGAAACCCTAATAAAACCCTAAGATTGTTCCCCAAGTATACTCAAATAGCCGTCATAGAAAAGATATAATTTTAGGAAATATTCCATAAATTATCCTAGAATAACCTAACCACCGAGCTATAGCTCGGCAGCTAGCTCATGCCTGCCGCAAGTCCTCATCGGGTCGAGCTATAGCTCACTCGCATAGAGCTATAGCTCGCAACCTCGTTGCAAATTTTCAGCTTCGTCAGGTTTTCGTAAAATTGTCATAAATTTCTTGTTTCTTATCGGAATTGGGCATATGACTATCGTTGGAAAGCTCTTGAACCAAGCTATCACCTCCAACTTGAATCACCTCAAAATCAGTTGTAGTTTGAGAGATATAATCGTTCAAAGTCAGCCCTACTAGATTTCGAGTCACAATTTAACAAATATATTGGTCGTATGGTATAGAGCCATACATGAATTATAATTGTGATGATTAGTCGTTCCCCTTGGAACAACTTTAGTTGATGGCAGATTGCAAAAGTCAAGGTATGACATAAATGATCACTGGGAGCTGTTTAGGCACAGGAAAGACTAAGATTGTCATCCATGCAGGTGGATTGTTGGGTTGTTGATTGAAGAATATCGTTGAGTTCAATTCTAAATATACTCCATCAAAATATGGTGTAAAAACAAGGCCGCACTGGTAGGGCCGTATTGTAAAAGATTTTAAATTGCCCAGACCTAAATCCTCCATATCAACAAGCGGTCTTTCAAACATCCATGATCACATCTATTAAATGTTCCAGCCTTAAATCACCAAACATTAGACGTTACATCATCACTTAAAAATCACTTCCTATTAAGCGATAAGACGTTACATCATCACTTAAAAATCACTTCCTATTAAGCGATATACTGCAAGATTCCCCATGTCTTCCCACTAATGGCTCTAATCATATATTATACTAGTATAACTATTCTAATACCATATAACTACTATAAAATCCTAATGGGACTTTGAAATTGCATACTGCTATGTTACATGGACTCGAATACCCATGTCCGACATTGGTATGTGTCCAAGAGTCCAACTTGGCTATTTTGTAAAAAGAAAAAAAAATTCCATGTCCGAATGTCGAGGGACTGACATGTGTACTTGAGGTGAAATGAAGAGTCCATGTAACATAGGCATATTGTGACACGGTTTGCAATCAACACACCATATCCATTCTCTAAAACCATGATTGTTCATGCGATCACAACCGAAATTGCATTTTCGAACCATGATGCAAGGAATCCCGAGAAGGTAACTAATGAATTGGATTTAGGTGCAATTTAGAGATATTCTATAAAGGTTAGCATTAGATTAAATTTTGAACCTTTTGGCCGTGGCATCAAATACATAGGCAACTTGTTATAGCTATTGACCAAGTACTTTTGACCAAAATCCCACATTATTATAGAAAACTATGGAAGCTTAAGTAGATTTTGTTTCTTTTTTATTTTTAACCCCCTCTTACCTTAATCGTAAACTGCATTGTTGATAATTAGCAGCACAAATATAGGATAGAATCAGGCCTCATCTCAATCAACTTGGAGAGTTCATATTTAGGTATCACATAAATTTGAATGTTAGGATGGATGTGTATGAACATTGTAAAGAATATAATTAATAATGAAAGTATTTGAAAGAAGGTTTGCAAATTTTAAGGATGACATAGGAAAGATACAATTACGTTGGTATGGGCTTGTGAGGTGGTGAAACTTGTAACTTGTAAGGAAAATGGAGATTTATGAACATAGGATTTATTGAAGAAACCAAGGAGGCTAAAATTACTCGAATGAAGGGAATTTAGGATGATATAAATAAACTGGGTTCATAAGAACATATAGTACTTAAATATTGTAAAAAGAAAAAGGGAATATTGAAGGAAGACACAATTTATTAGCCAATTTACATATTTTCTTTGTTCGGAAAAGCTTCTTAACTTCATCAATTTCCAACATTTTAAGACATATTTAGCATAAACCTATTAAAGATCATTAAAAACAATGAATCAGCCACTTCTTTAGCATATTGGGCGGCAGCACATCTCCTTACTCTCAAACTAAAAAGGTGCACTTATACACATTATCAGCATCACATGATCAAATATATGTGCACGCGCACACACAGGATGATTCACTGGCAAACAGAATAAGAAATATGGCTACATAGCTACTTCTACACAA